ATCTGGTTGATCTGGATCTGGAAAGTGACCTGAGATGACATGATGTGAATTGGAGCTATAGAAATAAACTGAATAGAATTGAATTCTGTCCTGGTTCTGTGGGTTTTACCCTTAGAGGCTTTTCTCACACACACTTACATGAACCAATAGAAACACAGGACAGCATTGTTCATAACTGACTTTATTGGTTTCCGATCTCACATAAAAGCTTTTTATTCCAGAAAACGTGAAGGTTGGAAGGAGCAGAAGTAGCTCTTCTCTGTGGAGCTTCAGGCTCAGAGTTCAGCTCAGCAGCAGAACAGGCTGGAGGTTTAACCTGATCGATCTCCAGAGGCAGGAAAAGACGAGCAGCAGGATGGATGTTTCTGCAGCTGAAAAACCGTCAACATCCTCTAAATCAGCGGCGATGACATTAATGTGACAGAAGGTGGCGAGGAGGCAGAGAACAGATCAATGAAAATGCTTTCTGACATTTATCAGCACAAAGCAGCGGCCTGATGGAGTCTTGCAGGACGCCTTTGTTTGGATGAAATCATTCAATAAACAAACACAAGTGAGCTTTTATCCCTAACCCATCCTATCAGGAGTTCTGACCCAGTTTGTTCAGGGTGGGTTTTAACCCAATAAATAGAGACGGAAATGAGAAGAATCCAAACGCTGCATATTTGAGACACAAAGAACCACATCCGGAAAATAAAAATTTTCAGCGGCAGGACGCTGAAAAATCTACAGACCAGAAACAGTGGACAACAAGACGTTTCTCAATCAGCACTAACATTAGCCCATTAGTATGCCAGCGTTACCGTTAGCCCGTCTGCAGCAGCCAGCGCTAACGTTGGCCCGTCTGCAGCAGCCAGCGCTAACGTTAGCCCATCTGCAGCAGCTAGCACTAACATTAGCCCATCTGCAGCAGCCAGCGCTAACGTTAGCCCGTCTGCAGCAGACAGCGCTAACGTTGGCCTGTCTGCAGCAGCCAGGGCTAACATTAGCCCATCTGCAGCAGCCAGCGCTAACGTTAGCCGGTCTGCGGCAGCCAAGGCTAACCTTAGCCCGTCTGCAGCAGACAGCAATAACATTAGCCCATTAGTATGCCAGCGTCAACGTTAGCCCGTCTGCAGCAGCCAGGGCTAACATTAGCCCATCTGCAGCAGCTAGTGCTAACATTAGCCCGTCTGCAGCAGCCAGCGCTATTGTTAGCCGGTCTGCGGCATCCAAGGCTAACATTAGCCCGTCTGCAGCAGACAGCACTAACATTAGCCCATTAGTATGCCAGCGTTAACGTTAGCCCGTCTGCAGCAGCCAGGGCTAACGTTAGCCCATCTGCAGCAGCTAGCGCTAACATTAGCCCGTCTGCAGCAGCCAGCGCTAACGTTAGCCCGTCTGCAGCAGCCAGCGCTAACGTTAGCCCATCTGCAGCAGCCAGCGCTAACGTTAGCCCCTCTGCAGCAACCAGCGCTAACGTTAGCCTGTCTGCAGCAGCCAAGGCTTACGTTAGCCCTGGTCACGGTGCACCAGGCTTACCACACAAAAAAAACTTTTACTGATTAACTCGCAATTCATTAATGAAATTAAATCACGGCAAAAGTATTAGTTTTAGGTATAGATTGATTATTTCTCGCTGACCAGACTTTTCCTTTAAAGCAAAGTGAACTAAATCACTTGGAACTGAAATAAACTGAATATGATTAAATAGAGATGAACTAAACTGGATTTTCTGCAGGATTCAACTTCTAACGAGACATTCAGTTGTAATTTAAATGAGTTTCATCAAACCTGTTTAAGGTCATAGATGAAAACAGGAATAAAGTAAATTCCTCCATTTGTCCCTAATGATAAAGCTAAATGCTAAAAAGAAACACCAGCTCAGGAAGGACGGGGAGAAATAAATCAGGTTAAATAATAAGATGAAGAATTTTATACAAAACCCTCTTAAATTACAGGATGCTGCAGCCTAACAGCAACGTTTCTGGACCGAGAACAGAAACATCTCAGCTAATTAATAGCATGAGAAACCCGCAGCCGTTACCATGGTGACCCACCTCCATCCACTGCCCGTGGGACTGCATCTTGAGGATGATGCAGGGGTCCGGTTTGGACAGAGCATCTCGGTCTGAGATCCCTTTGCAGGTCACTCTAAGCTCCACCTTGGTGAGGCAGGGGCTGCTGAAGAGGCCCAGAGAGTTGGCCGCCGACTCGTAGATGTCACTCATGGTGGAGGGGGGCAGGAGGTCTGCAGGGGGGGAGTTAGGACACGGATCAGAACTTCACAGGAGATAGACATGTGTGGAAACAGCAATAAAAAAAAAAAAACATCTCCTTTCTCCGGCCAAACAAACCCAATAAAACCCGCTCAACCCATTCCCACTGCGGACCCCATCAGGACCTTCTGTAAACACCATGGCGACTGGATGGCGTCCAACCATTGGTCCAGGAAGTAACATCTGTGCAGGAAGCATGTGGGGGAACCAAAGGAAGGAGAATCCAAAGATCAGATCAGCGCAGCCTCCGAATTTACCAGAATCAGAACCAGCTCATAGCTGGGTTCTGTTTCACTACTGTCAGATTCTACAGGCTTCCAGAAAACCACGATGATGATGATGATGATGATGATGATGATGATGATGATGATGATGATGATGATGATGATGATGATGATCACATCATGCTGAAGGTGGTGATGAAGGTGGTGAGTTTGTTTTAGTTTCATGTATTCCTTCCTTACAGGAGAGCAGCAGCATTATCATTTGGGTGGACGAATTCCTGACCCTGTGACCTTTAACCTTTGACCTAAATCTAACTATCTGACCTTTGGCTAAATCTGCTGAGACATCCACTTCTAGAACATCAGTTCCTGGGACATCCACTTCTAGGACATCAGTTCCTGGGGCGTCCACTTCTTGGACATCAGTTAATGGGATGTCCACTTCTAGGACATCCACTTCTAGGACATCAGTTCCTGGGGCGTCCACTTCTTGGACATCAGTTAATGGGACGTCCACTTCTGAGACATCCACTTCTAGGACATCAGTTCCTGGGGCGTCCACTTCTTGGACATCAGTTAATGGGACGTCCACTTCTGAGACATCCACTTCTAGAACATCAGTTCCTGGGGCGTCCACTTTTTGGACATCAGTTAATGGAATGTCCACTTTTAGGACATCCATTTCTAGGACATCAGTTCCTGGGATGTCCACTTCTTGGACATCCGTTAATGGGATGTCCACTTCTAGGACATAAATTTTTAGGACACCAGTCAATGGGATGTCCATTTTTAGGACATCCACTTCTAGAACATCAGTTACTGGGGTGTCCACTTCTTGGACACCAGTCAATGGGATGTCCACTTCTAGGACATCCATTTCTAGGACATCAGTTCCTGGGACATCCACTCCTTGGACATCAGTTAATGGGATGTCCACTTCTGAGACATCCACTTTTAGAACATCAGTTCCTGGGACATCCACTTCTTGGACATCAGTTAATAGGACATCCACTTCTAGGACATCAGTTCCTGGGACGTCCACTTCTTGGACATCAATCAGTGGGATGTCCCCTCATCTCTCTATCTTCTGTTCTTCTTTAATTGAATGTTAATCTTTGAACTTTCTTTCAGCTCTGATGATCAAAATAAAACCAGCGAAGCTCTTATTCCACTCTGTGGTTTTGGGTTCTGTCTGGTTCTGTTCTGGCCGGATCCGGTTCAGCTCATCACATGTAGGTTTAATCCCAAACATCCAAACCATCTACTCTCACAGCTGAAACCTTTTCCTACAGAAAGTTCTGACCCGGTTCTGCAGTGACCCAGATACATTTCTTTATTTGCTCCCAGAATCACGTCCCAGCTGGTTCCAGCCGGTTCCTGCTGGTTCCTGCTGGTTCCAGCCGGTTCCTGCTGGTTCCGGCTGGTTCCAGCTGGTTCCTGCTGGTTCCTGCTGGTTCCAGCCGGTTCCTGCTGGTTCCTGCTGGTTCCAGCTGGTTCCGGCCGGTTCCAGCTGGTTCCAGCTGTATCAGGACGCTGGCAGAATAAAGGAGCCCACCTTCAGCGGATCTCATTAGAACAGGAGATCCTCTCCTCCTGCTGTCAGTCATCCTTTAAATACCTGTGATTGCCTTGGCTGAAACATGCGGGTCTCAGCTGGAGGAATCTAATTACACGGAGCAGAGACATTCCTGCTGATGTTCCTCTGATTAGTTCACACCTTGTCTGGACAGGCCGCTGCTAATAAGCAACACGCTCCACTTAAGCAGCCTGAGAAACCAGGTTTAATCCGACAGAAGTGAAATAAAATAGACCTGGAGACAATCTCAGTCCGTAACCCCCCTCTGCAGTAAATCATGTGGGCTGTGTTTATCCCTATTCTCTGTTGAGGAGCAATCAGCGTCACGTCCTCTTAGGACCTGATATTCAGTCAGATCAGAAGCAAAACTGTGTTTGTTCAGAGCTTTAGGGCCCAGCAGAACTTCCTTTAAACCTTCTCCTGCTGTCCATCCTCATTCCTCCTGTTTGTCCCTGGTTTTATGGGACAGAGGCGTCTCTTCGCTCCCTTTCTTGTCTGACACTCCACCTGCTGCCAGTGGCTAGTAAGCTCTGCCCTGGTGGCATAATGGTTCTGATTATTTATTTTAGCATTCTTTGTTTTTCCACAGTGAGCTTGAAAGACAATGTAAAGGTTAGAATAAATGTGGTTTCATGTTGTCACATCCAAGGAAGATGTTCTATGAATCACCCATCCATCCATCATCCATCCATCATCCATCCATCCATCACCCATCCATCCATCATCCATCCATCATCCATCCATCATCCATCCATCCATCACCCATCCATCCATCATCCATCCATCATCCATCCATCCATCCATCCATCCATCCATCATCCATCCATCATCCATCCATCCATCATCCATCCATCCATCATCCATCCATCATCCATCCATCCATCCATCCATCCATCCATCATCCATCCATCA